CTCACTCCCTCTTTCCTGTGCCATGCAATGACAAGCACCAGATGCCTCTCAGCGTTTCCTTAATTTAACCTTTTTGTCTACTCAAGAGAAAGAACATTGTATTTTATGCAAAAGGTGCATGCAAATTAAAGAAACTATTTAAAGGAACATGCTTTAAGCTTTAGTCCTATAAATCATGTTTCTTGCAGCTGCAAAACTAATTGTTCTTAAGTCTAATGAGGATTATCTCTGGTAAACCAAGTTTGCCATTTTAAAACCAGAAAGAAAATAAAAGAGAGGGGGAGGGTAGGGGGGGAACTGTGCCTAGAAAATTATATTGTATTTATGGGGGAATTATACCAAGGGAATAAATTCAGATTTTTCCTCCTTGTTTCAATTTTAATAATAATGTATAATATAGTATTAATCTAATTCTCACTTTCCAAAAAAAAGACAAATAATTAAAATTTTAATGCATCTCTTTCTTCCCTAACCCCTCTACACATATTTCTAAGTTTCCTTTCTTATCTCTATTCTACATTCAAAATTGCTTCCCCCACCCAAGCGAAACTGCAAATTTAAAGTGGAAGAGTAAGAAAATAAGGAGTTTAAACAGCCTTACATAAAAAGATTGTTTGCCATGTCTAATCCAAAATCAGCTTACAATGTAAGCCTGCTTCTTAAAAACAATGCACAATGAAGCAAATCATGAAATTTATTTCTCAGATTCTTTTTCTTCAGAACAAATAACCTCAGTTCTCTTATTTCTGCCAGCTCATCTAGCTTTATTATTTTAAAATTCTCATAACCAATCTTCAATTGTTAGATACTGAACTCTACACAGAGAGCTGAGACAAGAGCTGGGTCTACTTTGGGTACAGTGGGGAGATGATCAGATGTCCCGCATAGTGCACTTCAGTCACTCCTCTCTCTGTGCAATAGAAAATCACATTCAACTTTATGAGCCTTGGAACATCACTGCTGTTACTGTACAATATGATACTGATCTGACTCTTCTACCTTTCAAAGAGGATGGCAAAGAAGCGTGTAGTTATACAGTTGGCGGTGATCTCTGCCGCTCTTAAGCAATGTTATGAGACAGGCTTCGTGATGGGCACTTTTTATATGCCAGCTCATTTAAGATTTAAAACAAATCTGCTGGTTTGGTATTATTTTAATCTCATTTCATTGTGAAAAAAAAATTGAAACTCTGAGACATAAGTATCAGAGCTAAAGTTCCGATTTGTCTCCTTAGTTTTCAAACACCTAGACTTCAGCAGGCACTTGAAGATGTGAAAGGAAAAACAAAATTCTGACATGCATTGTTGTTTTATTATGATAAAACTCTAGCATAACATACAGAATCACCAACTACCATAAATACACAGCCTCACTAAAAATACACACTCATCTTAGAGAAGTAATCAGTTATCTGAAGAAAACTTGAGAGAATTGCCTCCATTTAGCCAAAAAAATAATTTCACGCGATACTAAACTCTACTGTTTCATTATTTATTTAAATAGGTAACATTCTCTTGTCAGCATTTTAAAATACTTATTTTCTTCCTTTTTACCAATGCTTTAGACCAGAAAGTCCTAGAGAGATAAGCAGTTGAATGAATAAAAGCTGTGGGGCAAAGAATATTTTACTTGTGAGACTAGGGTTTAAAGTTAATACGATCTTAAAACAATAGTCTCCAACTGTGTCTTTGCCATCTGTGTTTGGAACTTCAATGGAAAAACAGCTTTGAAGTCTATGACAAGGCTTCGTGTTCACAGAAGAAATAAAGTGGGGACACAACACCTTGTTCACTTTCTTACCACAGATTATATTTTGCCAAACCGTATTAGTTTCCCCTGAATTAAGGTACCTATGCTACTGCTGTTGTTCTGAATTTGGCTTTCTCTTTGTAGTAGATTAAAGGTTTACTTCAAGATATAAGAAATTAATAAACTACTACCAGGCTTGTTTCTTTAAGATAAAAAGCTAAAGTTGTCAATTCTTTGGATAATGTAAACTATAAAATAATTGATCTCAATGAAAGGTATTTTAGAGTATTTTCTCTTTTTGGATTGAGCTGTTCAGCTATCCATGTTGATTAAGTTATTAAGACACTTGGCAAACTATATTTCATTTGGTCAACAAAGGACATTCTAAGAATTCAGATCATCACATGCTATTTCTAAAACTGAAGAATTTTTAGCCACCTACCAGATGAGGAATGGCACCATAGATGAGAATTGTATGCCTTCTATTAGAACTACAGCTGTCCATCTCACAGATTTTAACAGTCATTGGAAATGTTTAATAGAATCATGTATTTAAAATAAATGGTCTTCCATGCTGTGGATCTTAGTTATCATCAAAATGGATTTTCTCCCCATACAATGTTATGGAAACTCAGATTGGCAGCTTAATCTTGCTAAATGATTGATTGATTCATTTGATTCTCTAGTAGCCAAGAGTTGGGATGTTTTTTTCTTTTCCCTTTTCTGGGGGGAAAAGAAAAAAACCTAGTTTATTGACATTTATAGCCATTTCACTTTAGGAGACAAATTTTACAGGTGCAAGAATGATTTCAGTCCCACATTCTTCAACCTGGGGAAAAAGTTCAGAAGGTGTAGTAGAGATGGAACAGTTGGAAATTTCAAAGATCTATTTGGTTGTGGCAAATTATGAATATTTTCTATTCCTTTGTTTCTGCTATTTAAACTTTTAAGGTGCAAATTAAAAACTAGTGGTCAGGGGCTTAACCCAAGTACAGAAACTCTCATCACCACTCTTCTGTCCTATCATGGCTCTTTATGAAATTACATCATCTTTCTGGTCTCTGAAGACTTTAGAACCTGGACTCCCACTTAAAATTATCTCTTAAATATGATATAGTGGATTCATTTAGATAAGAATAAAGGATAGAATTATGACCTATTTTTAATACTATTCAGGTGTTTAGCACAATGCTTGGCACATAGTTATTACTCAATAAATTGTAACATAATATTACCTAACAGTATCTTTTATTAAGTTAAGAAGTCAATCTTGCCTTGCTAGAGTCTTTTAATAATGATAATTTGACACACTCCTCTATTTTATCACTCTAGATAAAATAGCATTACTAGATAATCTCATATTTAAAATTTTGCATTCAATTTCCTCTTGCTCATATCTATCTAGAATAACACTTATGAAATCAAGAAAGTCAACCCGCTCTTTTTTTTTTGTCAACATCAACTTTAGAGGAATCAATTATTTATCAGATTTCAACAGTAGGGTAAATAAGTAGGAAATACTGACTTTAAAATTCCAATATATACATGGCTACTTTTTTCTAAACTTTTTGTTATTCAGAATTGAAGCATTTGTACATGTTTAATTTTATGTAAAACCTATTCTAAGGTGCCAATTTAAAAAAATTAGAGTAAAATGTTATGGGTACACATTCAAATATTTTGTCCCAACAAATTTTCTAGCTTTTTAAAACACATTCATAGAACAGGTTACTGAACCATCCAGGTGAAAATATGCACATATGCGTGCAGAAAAAAATTAATCAATGTTTTTATCAACCTAAAATAGAGAAGTAAACGTTCCCTTCCCTTATTTCCCATCACATTTCCTTAAAGGAGGAGAAGCTCTAAGTAATATAAGAACAGAGAGCCCATGTACTTGCTTCTTTCTCTTTCATGGCTTTTCACAGTCCTTTCAGAAGGCAGATACTCCATCATGGACCAAGGATATATCTCATTCCTGTGGGACATGACTGGGAGGTAAATGAAGAAGCTGGCACCCTCCTCTCCAGTTTCACAGAGGAGAGAATGAGTGAACACATGGAATTGCTCAGATGCCCACAGGATCCAGTTATGGAAACTGATCTTCCCAGGATTCATGCCTTGGCAGCAGTTCACTTGTCCTGTTTTACCAATTACTCAGTTTTCCTCTATGTTAGTACTCTTCAATTAGTTAATTGAATCTAAATGAAATTTAAATGTTAAAGGTTGTCTGAGAGCATATATCGTTTGTTTTTAATATCCTTTTCTTTTCATCTCTACTTCCTAGGAAAGTCCATTTAAAAAAATTCTACATAGAATTTGTCTACCCATCTTATGTGTTTCTGTCTCAACTTGATTATACATATTAGAGAATGTCTACACTTAATTTAAAAAAAATAAATTAAAAAAATTACCTTGTCCAAAATTAGCTCCCTTATGCACATTTTGAACACCTTGGTATCCCAAACTCCTACAGATGACCTGTCCACCACGCAATTCCCAGTGGTCATCACAAATTGTACCCCACTGTCCATTATGGAAAATCTCCACTCTGCCTTCATGGGGGCCACTACCACCAACAAGTCGGACTGTCTTAGATGGAGCTGTAACAAAAACAAGCAGAGGTTAATTATGTATATATACACAGTTTTATAATGCTTTTTTAAAAAAGCAGTTCAGCACTTTTTTTTTGGCAAGTTCAACTATTAAATTTTAAACTTTCTGGCACCACCTATTGGTAAAGAGTTTAATTGTAAACATTGCATTATTCAAAACTGAAGAGTAAAATCTATTTTAACATTTTTGTAAGTTACATATATGAGATCACTTCAAAGATTATGTTCTAATGGCTTTAAAATTCAACAGCTACACTTTCTTGTGTTATATAGATTTTTTCATACTATTTAGAAAATTTTATAAGAAAGTGAGTCATTATTTTCTTAACACACTAACACAACACTGAACTCACTATCTAGTGAGTTTCAATGATATAGGAGGTAGAGGAGAAGATATTTTATAATATTATAAACACAAAAATAAATGACCAAACATCCTATCTTTTAGCATGAGAAATAAGATAACAATGGTGACATTTATTTAGAAATAGCAAGGATATTTCTTATTATAAGGCCCCTCGATTTTGTCCCAGAATGTCTTTCTTTTTTTGAATGAAAAAAAAAGGGAAACGATTTTTGGAAGGAGAGAACAAGCTCTCTGCTCTCTTAAGGATACTAATCCTGTCATAAAACCCTATCCTCACAACCTCATCTTAACCTGATTATCTCCTAAAGTCCCACCTCCAAATATCATCACATTGGTGTTTCGGCTTCAACATACAAACGTGGTAGGGGAAAGGAGGGGATGGATGAATATAAGTCAATCCAGAGCAGAATGCATTAGAATCACAGACTGCTAACCCCACAACCAGAGTTTCTGATTCAGTATGTCTTGAGTGGGAGTCAAGAGTTTGTGCCTTTAACAAGTTCCCAGGTGATACTGAAGTTGTTGGTCAAGGAACCATACTTTGAGAACTACTAACCTAGAATGTCACATTATATATTTAAAAGAGGAGGAGGCCTGTTAATCAGAGACACCTGCTGATTCTTTTCTGTAATCCTTTAGCTACATTTATTCCAAAGAGAATGGCTGCAGATTTCTTTCAAATTCCCCATTCTTGTATGATTTTGAAAGGAGAGTAAGACTCTCTATTGACTTTTTTAAGGCTAAATATGTTTGGAAATACCTATGGTTATCTATCAATTAACTATTTTTCAATTATAAATCAGTTATTGACATATGACCACACTTTGCTAATCCTCGACTATCTCTGAACTAATATAGAGGAAAGAGGCAAGCCAATAGGCTCATTTAACTACTCTATTTTGGTTATGGAGAAGAGTCCATTTTGTCTTTTCAAACACTCTCAATCATGGCATTTTCTCTATAAGACTGCAGGTCAGAATTTTCTTTGAATTTAGCCAACTTGTTATATCAATGTAAATAATGCCTCTGGTTTCTCTAGTATCAAGCTAACATATTTAGTCCGACAGATGTTTTCCACTGGGGAATATTTGTCTTGCACTTAAAGATATCAGAAGAAGATAATTTTTATGTATTTTTTTTTTCTGGGTAGCTGTCTTAATTCTCCCCTTAACTTTATTAATGTAGACTTTTCCCAAATTCAAATCAAATAAACTTAGATAAACATTGACTATGTGCCACCGGATGACTCTCTGTATAGGTTATTACTTTGTAAGTGGCTAAACACAGAAACACAAACCAAATTGGAAACGATAATGTATGTTAAGGATCATAGGATTCCCTATGGAACCCAGAGATAAGGTTATATTTAGGCATCTAGAACAGCTAAACCCACTCAAATCAGCTCGGGACTCTACAAATTTCATCCAACAGCCTCTCCGTAAATTGTTTCATTCTTTTCTTCTGTTGCAAGTTAGATATCTCTGTTCCCCAATCCACACGATAGAACATGTCTGTTAATAACTCCTAAGTTTATATTTTGCTGTCTCTTTCTCAGTGACAGTTGTGTAATACCCAGAGAAGTCCTCCTATAGCTCATTTTGGGCTAATAGCCCCCCTATGGACTAAACAGCAGAGACCAAAGACAGTAATTCTTGCAGTAACTTGATATTTCAAGGAGTGAGAGAAGTGTCATTTCCTTGAAGGCGAGTTTTGAGCAGACGAAGGCAATAAGATGATTCCATAAAAGACATTTTAATAATCTTGGTGTATTTCTGCGATATTAATTATACTATATGTTAGCTTTGTGTTCTTTTTCATATCGGTGACAGTAGAGTATAACTGAAATAAAAATCCAGGAGTCAGATAATCTGGATTTTAGTTCTACCTCTGACGTCGTTTATGTGACCTTATTAAAACATTTAACCTCTCTAAGACCAAACTTTTCAACTGTTAAAGAGAAAATGATATTTGCTCTTAGTTAAATGCATCTTAACACAACTTGGTGCCAGGCATTTTCCTGGGTTGGTTCCTGGAATAATTGAATAAAATACATATCTTGCCTTTAAGGTTCATGTATTTTTGAGGTTATTATGAAAGTTGGCAGAAATAGTGCATTCTTTAAAATGTTGTATGAATATAAAGATTTATTTTTACAAGTTTTAGAAATTTTGATGTTTTCATTTTGTAATGAAAGCATTGGATGAATATATTATCTGTGATATTCATCACCATATTCATTAAAATAAATTAAATTTTTTTTTACTACTTTCCTATTTACTGCTTATCCTCCTCAAAAAGTTCTTAACCAACTACAATAAGCTTCTGCAAACAGACAAAACCTACTCTGTGGTTTCAGATATGAGTTTATTTTACCTTTGTTATTTTCAAACATGATTATCTACTATTTTGAAGAAACTCTTCTATACCAGCGATGAGTAAAGCATAGCCGACCAGCCAGTTCCAGCCTGTGGCCTGTTATGTAAAGAGATTTATGGAATGCAGCCACACCCATTTATTTGCATATTGTCTAGGACCACTTTCAGGCCAAAACAGCAAAGTCAAATAGTTGTGACAGAGACAGTCTGGCATGCAAACCAAAAATATTTACCATATGACCCTTTACAGAAAAAGCTTGCCAACCCCTGTTATAGTTGAAAATACAACAGAGTAGAATAATAGAGGATTTCATTAGGGATATCCTGCCAAGTGATCCCTGAAATACATAAGGCCATGATTTATCTCTGCTTTCTTCTCCAGTCTAACCCTTTAAGAATCTCTCTGTTCCTACACTCATAGTCTTTTTATTTCAGTAATATAATTATTTACATTACCCAAAGAAGCCTTACTCTCCTTAAATTCTGGCACATCGTCCCTGTCTGGAATGCTACTTTAACATGCCCCCCCCCACACACACACCCCTCCCATTTCTCCACCCTCAATCCTTTCCGACTCCCATAGCACTACTGGCCTACCAAAACACTGTAAACTAGTCTATGTTCTCCACTAGACTAAGATCCTTGCAGTTATCTTTTCAGTATGTGACAGAATGTAGATTTTTCACTTAGTGATCACTTGATAAAGAGTTATGACATGAATGAATAAAATAAAGAATGGTGAACTCTTCTTGATTTGCAACCTGCACTACCTGAGTAAATTCAATTGGTAAATGCTTAAAATACCAAACAATAGGAGAAATAAAATTTACTATTTTATAAATCTCTATAAAGAGAGAATATAGTTTCTACAGGTAGAAACAGTAAAGGAAATCATGAAGAAAAAGATTGATTTAACTGAGATAAACATGAGTTTTATTATGGAAAAAAAGCTACATGGCTATCTGCTGAGCACCCCGAAGGCAGGACTGTCTAGTCGGAAGGTCTGATGAGAAGCCTTACATATTCCAAAACCTGATTTTACAGGTTTAGAAGATTTATCTCTTAGAAGCAGACTAATGTTAAACAGAGTCTTGGGACTAAATGTCAATTCAATTTATGAGGAGAAATGTAATTACCTCAAAAAATGGAATATTTGTATCTGCCTGACAAGGCCATTTTCTCCCCATGGGCGATCTTCATAGGAAGTCAAATCACAATAAGTGAGTTATTCATTTAACTAATTTATTAATTTACAATGAGACATAGTAGTGAGATTTTGCCTCTGGTACTGGCTAGTAAGCTCTTTGGTTAACTTTTTTTTTTAACATATGCTAATACATTCAATCAGATTAGGTAATTTGACATATCTTTGCTCTGATTCAATTTAATTTAACTTTCTAAAGGCAATCTTACTATTCTTGCTTCCTAGTTCTGGAGGGAAGAGTATAGTACTGATAATTTCTATATATTTTTTAAAGTTCATATATAAAATAAAAACAATATATAAAATATTTATTATACTAATTACTCATTCATATTTCTATGACCATAAGATCTCAAAATAAAATTCTGTAAAAGAGCAAATATTTTATAAAAGACTTTGTAATTTAATCTGAGGAAATAACACCAATTCAATAAAGGTTAACAGGTTCGGAGGTTATTTTTGTTTTGTTTGTTGCAGACATAATTTTAAAGGAGGAATTAAAACAGATATATATGAAATATCTCAGAATAGAGAGATAAGTTATAGTGTATAAATTAGATGGATAGTTTTAGAGGCATTAAACATAACTGTCAAAAATCATGTAGAAATGGGGGCAAAGATGATAATATAATATCAAGTGACTATATTAAGATTAAAATTTTTTATTTCAATTATGCAAAAAAACTTGATATATAAAAAGACTGGAAAGAAGTATCCAAGCATATTGACAGTAATTCTGTATATGAGACAGAAATCAAATATATAATATTTTTCTAATTTAATATAACTCTATTATTTTAAAAACTAAGATTAATAAAATAAGTGGTGGCTGGATAGTCACTAATGTTCTTACTGTTCTAATAGGTCTATAACTCAAAGCTGAAATTCATAAAATTGTGAAGAAAAACAAGCTCAGAATGAGAGATAATGCCATTTATGTAAAATAACACAAAAAACAATAACATCTGTTATTTATGTATACATACATCTGTAATAAATGTATACAAACATGAATAGAAAAAAACATATAAATTCCAAGATA